TGTTACCCCCTCAGACCCACTCAGGGGTGGTTGCCAGGATTTGCACCAACCGTTTCGTTGACCAGAAGTGACAACAATAATACCCTGAAAATTTCAAACCTCTAGCTCACGTCCTTCTTGGGAAACGGACAGACAGACAGACAGACGAACACAGAGGCGATGGCATAAGCCCGCTTATATAGCTTTTAAGCAAAAGAGCGGGCTAAAAAGGGGGGGGGGGGTAACCTCTAGTATATACCCAAGAAAGTATGCCATCTGCACCATTAACGGGGAGGAGCGCCTCATCGAGCCGCCAGGTGGAGGTGAGCAGTTTAAGTACTAACTCAGGAACTCATAAATGTATGTCGCCCTCCCGGAGGCGCACTTGGCCGTGTGTCACGGTGGAAAAAACCTCATGCTACCAATACTGGGAGACAAATACGCAAATGCGTCTCAGCAAGCAGTGCTCCTATTCTTATCGCTGTGCGGAATATGCCTTGCAAAGAAGAAGCCCAAGAGAAGAGGGATTGTTGTGAAGCCCATGGTATTTCAGGAGATGAACCAGCGATGCCAAGTGGACCTGATCGACATGCAAAGCCATCCGGATAGACCCTATAAATTTATTTTTGTATACGAAGATCATTTGACCAAGTTTGCTGTCGCCCGCTAGCGAGGAAGACAGCCGAAGAAGTGGCAGAACAACTGCTGGACGTCTTCTGCCTATTGGGCGCACCATCTGTATTGCAATCAGATAACGGCAGAGAGTTCTGAAACCACCTTATAGAGGAGATTACGGTATGATTCACTTTCCTACTCGACCTAGCTGCATAACTTGATTTTTTTTCTAAACTATTTATTATATTCTATTCTAATTATTCTAGGTGAAGTGGGAGGAAGTGAAGATTGTGCACGGGAAGCCGAGGCACAGCCAGACGCAGGGCTCGGTGGAACGTGCCAATCAGGATGTGCAGGACATGTTAACTGCATGGATGATGCAACATCTGGCGAAGAAATGGTCGGGGGGACTGCGTTTCGTGCAATGCATGAAAAACCGGGCCATTCACCAGAGCACCAAAATCTCCCCATAAGAGGCCGCATGTTTGGCACACCCATAAAGGTGGGCGTTCGGTCGGCCTTCCCACAAGCCTGCTTGGAGGAGATGAGGATAAGCGAAGGATCACCACAGATCGTCTTTTTGTTAACATGAAATGTTATTTATTAGGTGCTAACATTTTTGTGAACAGATAAACGCTACAAAAGTTAAAAAGAGACCAGGAATGACATGCGATGTCGACGACACCTCAACGGTGGGCACCACGCCAGTCTCTGCCATTTCAATCCAGAACCAGGCGGAGTCCTTTAGACTTCGGTCCAGAGTCCCATTCTCGTAGTCAATGTGAATTAATCCGAATGGCCTCCTGTGAAGAGATCAAAAGGTTTGCTTTCAAAATCACCGTTCATTAACATTTAAATTTCTAGGCTAGAAATGTCTTAAAAGTGTATAAGAAATTGTGGCACATTAAAGACTATTCCAGAGCTTGACCCGAAATAAAATAAAATGACGAAGAGTGCATTGCGCAGACGCCAGACATGTTCTCCCTCTCTTCGCAACAGGCCCTTCGTTCTTCCATTGTGCTTCTTTACTCCTATCTCTGAAGTACCCACTGTCCGCAGATGCACCCTGCTTTGAGCTGCAATTATATCTCTTTTTTTTTTTTTAATGTTTGCGTTTTGAAGTTAAGCCTCGCCGTGGTTCGAAAGCGCTGCACTGTCCTTTACGGATAGTCCCAGGCTTCCCTTTAACTCACCTGTACTCAGACGTGAATTCCCATGCGTCAATTAGGCTCCACGCACAGTACGCCAAAACTTCAATTTTGAACTCTGTCATGGTAATGACGAGTTCCCGCAGGAAGGCCTGTAGAAGTAATAAATTAGTAATGCTGAGGAAACACGACAGCAATGTGCACCGTCCCTTGATTGCGTGGGTGTGGGTAACCCAAAAGGGATCACTAAGCCTTCTTAAAGATAGGTAGATATACGCCGGACCACGTCTCGCGTAACACGCTTCGCGTTATCTCACGCAACATTGCTAGGCTGCGACGCGCCTGGCGTACATCTAGCTACGCCAGCGGCGTTGACACCTGAGTCGGGCAAAACGTACAGCCGTGTATGCCTTCGGCCCCAAAACTCTCAAATTGTGTTTTTCGGGGTTTTATTTTCACGTATGTACCCCACCGAAGACCATCAAATATCTGAGAAAAAACATTTAAATGTTTTGGGGACATTTCCGTGTGGAAACCGCCTTCTTGCGTTTAACCGGTTAGAGATAAAGCCAAACGGACAACATTTTGGTCCTTTGAGATCCACTTTGACGAGTTACTTCTTAGCAAGATGCAGAAATATTTTTGCCGAATCTATTTGTGTTACATTGGGGGACAAAACAAAATGGCCGGCCACTGGTTTTAATAGGGTATCCCTCTAGAGCGCGAAGCGGAAGTAAGAAGAACAAAAGCGGATACAGAGAGCGGTGGTGGGGGC